AATTTAATGATGACCCCCCCTCTACATATGAGAATATTTTTCTTTGACCCCCCCCCCATTTTCATTTTTACTCGACAAATGGGGATACCCAGGCGTTATAATGTTAATTATTAATTAAATAAGAATATGGAGCAGACAAGATATTAACGTCGACCAAAAATATATATTAGCAGAAAATTATAAATAAAAGAGGGGTATTTTCATATATAACTCTAAAATCAGGTTTCCATTTGATCTGGGCGATTGTAACCATGTTTAACGGCAGAGAATTAATATTAGTGTTTGGAGGCAGGTGCCGTTTGTTGTTGTTTTGAACTTGGACCTTCATTATGAACGTGCATGCATAAATTTAAGTTAATGTTATTTACGTCATCGCCACGCGGGACATCGCGCGTGTGAACACATGGTTTTGAGACAAAACAAAATATGCTTTTGAGATTTATAAGCGAAGTTGCAAGCCAATAAAGATATCTTTTCATTGTTGTTAACATTGCATTCCTGTCAAGCCGCCGTCTAAAACAGCTGGTCCTTCGTCCCGGATTAAGAACTACTTTGAAATGCCAGTAGAAGTGGAAATTATCGAGAAACTTCGATCGAAGAAAAAAGTCGCCAAGTCAGCCATTACAAGGAATGTAAATCGCGTTAGGGAGCTAATAAACAACAAAGAAAGCGTTTCTAAGGTACGTCAGTATGCTAAAAATATTGAAGAAGCTAGAGAAAAGGCTCGGATTGTAATAAACGAACTTGAAAAAGCCGATCCATCGTCTATTGAAGCCGATGGCGAATGGCTTGTCGAGGTCGAGTGTGACGTGACTGATGCCCTAGGGGAAATAGCTGATTATTTACAAGAATCAAGCCAAACAGAGCCCCAAAACCCCTCGATAAGTAACGAAGAACAGTCGTCTAGTGAAAATTCTACAGTTATATCAGGGAACAGTCGTTCTAGTGGTCTTAAAGGGGTAAAGATTCCAGTGTTTGATGGAAGTCCAGAAAAATGGCCATATTTTTGGGGTATATTCAGTTCACTCGTGGACAATAATAAGTCTCTTTCTGATGCGATAAAACTAGCACATTTGAACAATTCTATCAACGATAGAGTGAGAGAAGTTATTGCCTGTTTGACCGGGGAACCGGGTGACTACCAGAAAGCAGTTAAGTTACTTAGTGATAGATATGGGGACCCCCGTGAAGTTGTAGATGCACATTTGCACCGCATTACCAATTGGCATAATATTAAGGAAAAGGATCGCGATGCATTTGAGCGATTTGCTGACGCCTTACAAGCAGCAGTATTTGCCTTGGATAAGCCAGATTATAGACATGAGTTAAGTAGCATGCCTCTTTGCACTCAGTTAGTTCGCAAGCTACCGCCCAGTGAGAAAGATGAGTGGGTGCGGCAAATAGAGCGCAAACAAGTCACTGAAAATGTTAAGGGATTAGCAGAGTATGCCCAATTGAGAGTAAAGTTATTGCGCAAACGCGATCGATATAACACACCTGCACCACCCAAAGAAGACCCAAAGTTTAACCCAAAATTTGCACATAAGAGAGCCTATCTAGCAAAACACAGGCTGGGAAATGTTCTTTATGCGATGGTACTGTAAAGCATAAAGAGGGGGATTGTCCAGTGTTTCTAGCTGCTGACCCTAACCAAAGATGGGCACTAGTCAAGTCAAAAAAGGTGTGTTTTGGGTGCCTACAATTAGGACATCAGCGCCGCCAATGCACTGTTTCATCTAAGTGCGGAGTCAATTCATGCGAAAAGGGGCATCACAAACTGCTTCATGTCTTGCCGAAGCCGCCTACTGGCGATGAAGCCACTGAGCCTAAGGGGGTTCACTGTGGCAAAGCACAAGTTTCATCCTCAGGCCCTAGTAGAGTTGCCCTAAAAACTGTCATAGTACCCTTTGTTAACGATTCAGGGGGGGTAGTCTTGGAAACTGTTCTTTTAGATTCTGGTAGTGAAACAACCCTCATTAGGTCTGGATTTGCCAAACAATTAGGGGTTCAAGGTCAAAGGAAAATCCACTGTTCATACTGTTGGAGGAGTGCGGACCACCCTCAAATCTCAGCGTGTTCGTGTACCATTTGCACCAGCGGTCACTGATATTGATGTTTATGCATGGACTATGAAAAATATATGCGAACCGGTGCAGTCGGTCGATTGGACGGAGATAAAGAAACAATATGAACATTTGCGTGATGTTCCAGTCATGTCGGCAGGAGAAACAGCAGTGGATGTGTTGTTAGGACTGGATGCAGCATCCTTGATGGCGCCATTGGAAGTGAGAGCGGAAAAGCATGGTCAGCCATGTGCAGAGTTAACCCCATTTGGTTGGGTCATTTCGGGTCCAGTGCCAACCACTACCAAACCAATGTGTCCATGTGGTAGATGGTGAGGAAGATGCTAATCACCAGTGGCGAAAGTTATGGGAGATAGACAGTTTCGGTGTTCGTGTCGAGGCAACCACATACACGTGTAGTGAACAGCGAGCCGTTGATATAATGAATGAAACATGTCGTCGAGTGGAGTCGGGTTATGAGCTGGGACTGCTATGGAAAGCTGACAGACCGCCACTGCCTAACAATTTCAAGTCAGCCCTTAGCCGCCTGGAGTCGGTGGAACGCCTTTTGCAGAAGGATCCCAAGTTAGCGGACGGTTATTGCAAAGCCATCAATGCTTACGTGGAGAAAGGGTTTGCACAAAAGTTGTCGCCTGAGGAATTTGCCATGGACGGAGAGCAATGGCTGCTGCCACATCACCCCGTAATCAATTCGCACAAACCACTGCCAAGAGTTGTTTTCGATTCCGCTGCCAAACACGACGGTGTTTGTCTCAACGACTGCCTTGAGACGGGGCCAAGTCTTCACAATGATCTTCCGGGCATTCTGTTACGATTTCGTGAAAGGCCCATCGCACTTGTGGGAGACGTATCAGATATGTTTTGCCATGTTCTCGTCAAGGAGGAGGACCGCAAGTATCACCGTTACTTGTGGCGTGACATGGATTCAACAAGACCGCCAGACGTTTATGAAATGAACTGTTTGGTATTTGGTGACAAGTCCTCACCCTGCGAAGTGAATTTCGCAGTTATCCGTACGACGGAAGACAACCAGGATCAATGGCCAGAAGCCGTAGCCACAGTCCGGCGAGACATCTTTGTGGACGACTTCTACAGTTCCTGCAATGATGTGCCGCAGGCAGTATCCTTGAGAGCTGATGTCTCATCCCTGATGGCTAAGGGTGGTTTTCCTATGCGAAAGTGGCTATCCTCTTCACCGGAAGTGCTGGCAACGATACCGGAAACCGAACGGAGTATCTCGAATGAAAACTTACATCAAGGTGAGTTGCCAACTGGTCGAGCATTGGGAGTTCGGTGGGATGCACGATCAGACACTCTAGGACTCACTTATGCACATGTTGAACGTCCATCCACCCAGTCGACCAAACGCGGTATTCTAGCCAAATTAGCTGGCCTATATGATCCACTGGGATAGTCGAATCCATTTACGGTACGTGCAAAAATCACCCTGCAACGCACATGGTCCAGAGGACTAGATTGGGATGAACCCTTGCCAGCCGACATTGCATCTGAGTGGGTTAAGTGGGAATCCGAGGTCGCAGCCCTAAAGGCTTTCGCAGTACCACGGTACATTTACAGTCTGTCATCAAAAACATTGACGAGAGAGCTTGTGGTTTTCTGTGACGCCTCGGAAGATGCCTGCGCAGCTGTCGCCTACATGCGTGCAGTTCTTGTGGACTGTGAAGTCATATATCACCTAGTCATGGCGAAGACACGCCTCATGCCATTGAAAACGATCTCCATTCCCAGAGGAGAGCTGATGGGTTGTCAGCTAGCTGTGCGTCTCGCAAAAACCATCTGCGAACAGTTAGGGTTGAGTATGCTTCATGTTAGATACTTATCCGATTCAACCACGGCGATATGGTGGATCCACGGAGAGCTGCGAAATTTCCAACCATTTGTTGCGAACCGAGTAGCCGAAGTGATTTCAGAGAGTGATCCCGGACAATGGCATCACGTAAGAACGGATTTGAATGTTGCTGACATTGCAACGAGGAGAGTCGCCGCCAACGACCTTAAGCCAGAATCACGATGGATAGACGGCCCAGATTTCCTAAAGTCCGATAAGTCAGAGTGGCCCATCGATGATATTCCTGGCCCACCTTCTCCAACCGCCCAGAGGGAGATGAAGAAGAAAGTGCTAGGAGCAAAGGTGGTTGTGACAAAGCTTCTTGATCCATCCAGCTATTTCAACTGGCTGAAACTTGTTCGCGTTACAGCATGGATTCTGCGGTTCTGTCATAACCTGCGTAAGAAAGATCGGCGGAACGCGGAAGTTCTAAGTGTCGAAGAATTGGAGGAAGCTGAGCTGTATTGGATCAAGTCTGCACAACAAGATCGTTTTGGAGTTGAAGTCGAGTCATTGTCGAAAGGTCGTCCTGCCGCGCAAGCTAGTCGAATCGCAGATCTTAATCCACAGTTGGTGAATGGAATCTTACGTGTTGGAGGGCGTATTGACAAAGCCGAACTGCCATGGAAAGCAAAGCATCCCATCATATTAGATCACGTCTGATTGTCATCCATTACCATCGGAAACTGATCCACGCCGGAGTTGAGCACGTATTCAACCATATACGTGAGAAGTATTGGATTCTACGCGGCCGTTCGGAAGTCAAGAATTGCACCGTCAAATGCCCATTATGTCACCGACGTCGCATCCAGCCCCTCACACAGAGAATGAGCAGCCTACCATCTACACGCCTTGCCGGCGTTAGTGTCCCATTCCAGAATGTCGGACTGGGTTATGCAGGACCAATTTCTGTCCGTATTGGTCGTAACCGAATCGAGAAGCGTTACATTTGCCTGTTTACGTGTATGCACATGCGTGCCGTGCACCTCGAAGTAGCCCACAGCCTTGAGGCAAACTCGTTCATAATGGCCTTACGACGTTTCCTAGCTTGGCGTGGAAACCCGGCCCGCATTCTGAGCGACAACGGTACCAATTTCGTCGGCGCCGAGCGTGAGCTACGTACAATGGATTTTCATTCCACCTGCTGCTCCCTGGTTTGGTGGCGCTTGGGAGTCTTTAGTTAAGTCCACAAAAAGAGCCATGAAAGCGATTATGGGTAACGTCGTCACGGTGGACGAAGTTTTTTATTACAGTAGTCGCGGAAGTCGAGTCTCTTCTAATTTCTCGGCCACTTGTGTATGGAGGAAGCAGCACGTCAGCGACAGATGGGAGTGTTCTAACGCCAAATCATTTTCTCCACGGACGCGCAAGTGCTAATCTAACACCGGGCGAATTCGTCAAGCGAGATATGTCTTTACGTCGTCGATGGAGACACAGCCAGTTTCTAGCCGGCCAGTTCTGGCGACGGTGGAGGCAGGAGTATGTGCCGCATTTGATTAAACGCAGCAAATGGCGTACGATACAGCGAAATCTTCGGCGAGGGGATCTAGTACTTATCGTGGAGGATAACGTTCCGAGAGGTCTGTGGCGTCTAGGACGGGTTGTAGCGCCGATCGCAAGTGCGGACGGACTCGTGAGATCAGCTGAAATTGTGAGGAAAGCCGGAACCTACGTTCGTCCAGTTGGAAAGTTAGCGTTGCTGGAAGCCCATCACGAAGAAGAGTGACGTTTCCCCCCGGGTTCACGCCACGGGCGGGGGTGTTTTGAACTTGGACCTTCATTATGAACGTGCATGCATAAATTTAAGTTTATTTACGTCTATTTAAGTTTATTTAATTTTATTTACGTCATCGCCACGCGGGACATCGCGCGTGTGAACACATGGTTTTGAGAGACAAAACAAAATATGCTTTTGAGATTTATAAGCGAAGTTGCAAGCCAATAGACCTTATTCATAAATCGTGACGAGGCCTCGTATCCTAGGATACGGGAACAAAACGCGGGAAAACAAGCGAAAACTGCTTGACAAGCCAAATTCAGATGCTATTGTGTCGACTTTAACCGCTTGTTTCTTGTTGCTTTTTGCGATTTATAACGATATTTGTGTGTATTTTAAGTCTTTGTGCCCACAACGAAAACGGTAAACGAGTATATTATAAAAGCGACCAGTTTTTCTCCCGTTTTTGTGTGGAAAAAATGACAACGTAGCGATAGTGTTTATCCAGAAGCGAAAAACAGTATTTTACTAAGATTTTAACGTCAATATAAAGGTTATTCCGTGGAAAATCAAGACAACTATGGAATGAAAGTATAATTTTTCGAATTTGACATTAATATGAAAGAAAACAACAGGTCACAATTCATAAGAGAACGTCAAATGTCATTGATTCGTACGGGAAAATATGAACTATGGCTCTGGCTCGATAGCATTCTGCAAGCAGCTTACAAGTTTAAAAAATGAAGGCTACATTACCTGAGTGAGTTTGTAATCTTATTTCTTCAACAATAGTTTCATATTTCTTACGATTTTGGTGTTGTATAGACGTTTTGTAGCCTTGTTGGTTGTTTGTTTTGGCCATACAAACTACGACAATAATACAAAGTCAAAGGTTTCCTTTTTCGATTGACTCCAGCATCTTGTGCTTTAAATATCATGTTATATTTTCTCAGAAGTATTTTTTCAACTTTCAAGCTCAGTTTTATAGATATTATTTTCGAAAAAAGCCGTAATATTCACGGAAAGAAGCTGCCATAGCCGACAGCAAAAAAACCCATTTTGTCAATTTTTCCGCGTTTTCCCCCGTTTCCTAGGATACGAGGCCTCATCACGATTTATGAATAAGGTCTATAAAGATATCTTTTCATGTTAACATTGCATTCCTGTCAAGCCGCCGTCTAAAACATCGGGTAAAACGCGGATATAATGTTTAAAACATATTTTAGAGAAAAAAAGGTCATCCGTCCGTCCGTCCGTCCGTCCGTCCGTATCAGCGTTTTAACCTAACCCTTTTTAAACCTCTTAAGGTTTAAGTTTTTGGAAGGACAACCTTAATTGAATTATAGCTGTATATGAAGTACCTGCATGTACGTGTAAATAGATGGTTGTTGATGGCACAGCATCTTTCACAGCTCATTTATATGACTTACTGTACTGTATATCACATAAGTATATTTCATTTGTCCGAACATGCGTCAAACTAATACAAACTAATTAACTAAACTGACTGGCTGTTCAGTCACAGCTGTAAGCAGGTATTGTGAGCCAGTTCGTCATAAATTTAACTCCACAATTAGTTCAAATAATGCCAATGAAGTTTATAGTCGATTTCACCGTTGCGAAGTTCGAAAGTTCATATTGGAATTCACAAGTCAATGTGTAAACAAAGTTCCTGATTGGTCGCTGAAGTAAAAGAAGCCAATCGTTTACAAACTGGTTTGTGAATCTCATTATGGACTTTTGAACTTCCCAACTGGAACTTACGAACTTCGCAACGAAGTTCAGAACATTAAGGCGGTTTTCCACTAGGCGAAATTTTTCGATCGAACCGAAATTTCTATTGTTCAAATTCAAAAGATTTCTGTTTAGTTCTATCTGAGTGCTTGTAAGACAAAAGAAAATTTCGATTCGGTCGAAAAATTTCGCCTAGTCGAAAACCGCCTTTAAGCCCGCCGCACACGAGCGCACTTGTCGCGCATACTTGTTATTCGTGACAAGTTCGATCGACAAAATTTCCTCGTGTGCGGGCAACTTTTACGGCATTTTCGTCATTCGTGACATGTAAACCAAATATCAAGCATGTTTGATATTTTTCGTCATTCGTGACAAAAAAATTGTCGTGTGCGGCGAGCAAACGACAAGCGCGCCTGAATAGGAAAATTTGCGCATGCGTGTAATTTGCAGAATTAAAAACAAGACACGAGCTCGTGATTTTGATCCGCCATGTTGTTTTTAATTCTGCAACTTGTCACGTGCGCTCGTGTGCGGCGGGCTTTATAGCCTGCGTGCAGGCCCCAAGGGAACTGATAGTGGGCCTGCAACCATCACCCCATGTTTTCGATTTTCGCCGGCCGAACCGCCGGCTAAATTCCCATTGGCTAGCTGAGGCGATCGGTAATTAACCTAGCGTGCAGGCCCAAGGGAACAGTGATTCATCACAAAGGCATAGACGAAGGCTCTCTATAAGCTTAAAATTTGAAAATGGATCACTTTTTTCGATTACAAATGGAACAAGAACAGACTGTTTATTGTTTACTTGAAGGAAGACATGTTTTTGCCGTTATGCCAATGGCGATTGCTTGTCGTGAGGTGTTGGAATAGCAAATTACGACTGGGGTAAACTATAGTAACCTTTACTTGAGTTTCATTAATTTCAAACAGACTTCAGTTGATACGTTATGTGTTCTCACTTCCTCAAGAAAATTATTTTTTGGTTGATGTTGAGATGCAGTTGCATGTAAGGACTGTAAGCCTATTCGAAACACTTTGCGATTTACAAGGCTTCGCTGAGAGAGCGAAACAGAAGGCGGTATTAAATTGCCGTTTGAAACGAAACGATCTGGACTCGGAACGCTCTCTTCTTTTGTAGAGTTCTTTACCAAATGAAATAAATTTCGTACTTTCCGCCGCCAACAAGAATTGCACACACGATCTGATCAGCGAGACAATTTATTTATAACAATGCCAATGGCGACAGCGAAGCACACATAATATAAATCCTAATGTGGTAGCACGACTTCCCTCATGATTTGAAGTTTGAGACTGGTTTTCTGTTGAAATTCGTCCTAATTTGCCTGTTCCGATTTTAGTTGAAAATGAGCACTTGCAAATTTGGCAATTACTGACTGCGTTGCTAAAGTTAAAACGCAGCCATTTACACATTGTTTATTAGTGTTCTGAATAAGCAGATAAAACCCCGCAAATTTTAATGCGAGTTTGTTTGTTAATATTTGGGTGCTGTCATTGGTTCTTTTTTGACAATTGACGCGCGAATGGGGCGTGTTATGAAAAGGGGCGTTTTACAAAATACCGGGCGATGGTTGCAGGCCCACTATTAGTTCCCTTGGGCCTGCACGCAGGCTACGGGCTTTAAGGCCCATATCAGTGATACAGACCGGACGCTGGTTGGTAACGCGACGCGAATTTGCAATTTTCAATGACATTTAACTTTAATATTTTTCTACGTTTTTCAAACATTCGGAATCACTCAGGCAATTTTATCTATTTGGTCTGCATATTTTGTAAAATTTTTCAGTATCCGTTGACGGTTTTACTTGTTTTTAAAAACTGAAAATTCGCGTCGCGTTGACGAATCGCGTTCGGTCTGTGTGGACCTTTAGTGGTCAGTGTTTCGTGAAATCGATCAATCAATCAATCAAACTTTATTTACCAACGGTACTATTTCACAAAGACAAAAACTAAAATATTTACAAGATGTGATCTTCCAATAGGATGTGCAATGATCGTCCAATAGGCTGTAATTCAATCTTTTATATTCAGACTCCATTGTATAATATAGATTTATAAGTCTTATAATCATTGTCACTTATGAGGTTAGGTTCAGCGCGGACGTGACTGCGCGTTTGAAAGCACATGAAATATAAATGCATTTTCCGAGTGGGTGCCGGTCGATTTTTATTGCAAACTGTTTCCGTCGCATAGCGTAAATTTTGAAAGTTAGTTTACGCCAGAGAGGTGAGAAAATCAGGGATGGGACATATTAAAACGCAAACATAAAATTTGCAGTCTGCAAACTGTTTCGTGTATAATGTTTATGCATTTTTAATTTAAAGCAGGTTTTACGCCAGAGAGGCATGAAAGTCATGGTTCAAAATAAAATTAACACAGGGTTTATTAATATGGATATTATTCTTACAGACGCACTGGATGCAGTTTTGGGAAGATAACACCATGCAGCCGATGTATGTAATGGCATGGTATACCATGTAACTATTATAGTAATATCCATAAAGATATTACTCGACTGTGATTGGTTGATTTCAGTGCAGTTAATCCCAAACAGCAGTACAATTTTCTGTAATCATAGTGCAATTTTCTGTAATCACAGTGCAATTTTCTGTAATCACAGTGCAAAAATCTGTAACAAACTGATCTGATTGGTGTAAAAACATTGTGATGATTAAATCAACCAATCAGTTTAAACCAATTTAGTTTAAAGAAGTAACGGTCACAGATTGCTTCACAACAAAACAAACATGGCGCCGCGCTACACAAAGTAAAAGTTGCCTTCGCGTGGAAAATATGGCTTTTATCTTTACTTTTAAATGGAAAAGCATTTACCTTAAACAAGACGAACAAAAATTACATAGTTGAGTGGAATTTGCAAGCTGTTAGCGTTGTATAATGTGATATGACAAAGCCAGGAAAAGTTTGCCAGTGCCCAGTGGAATGTTCGCTATAAACGCGTAAGTTAAAACTACAATTGTCTCGAACATTTTTATGTAAATTATTAATAAGTAATAGCATGGTTTCTCGTGAAATTTGGATAAACATGCACTCGTGAGTTTTTCAAAGACCTCAAATAGCACTCGTCCTTCGGACTCGCGCTATTTTGAGGACTTTGAAAAACTCACTCGTGCATGTTATATCCAAATTGCACTCGAAACCATGCTATTACCTATACAAGTCACATTGCTGTATGGTTGTGACTTGTTTTAACTTTTAGCACTAACTGTTAGGCAAACTGTCAGGCGTCTTGTTTAGATTTATGATCATTGGCACTTATTATGAGGTTAGGTTCAATACGAAAGTGACTGCGTGTATGAAATATAATTATAAATAACATGTATATAACGCGTGCTCTGATTGGTCGAAACCCGTGTTTGGATGGCCTGATCCAAACACTTGAGAATATTGCTGGAATTAAGAAAAGCGCGCAAAATCACTCCCCTTCGGCTCGTGTTCGCGTGCTTTTCAACTCTCGCAACATTTCCGCGTGTTTGGATCAGGCCATCCAAACACGGAAACTATAAAGTAATTGTATAATGCATGTCATAAACTAGAGAAAACGTACCTTAGAGTAACAGGAAAATTACAGTCATGCAGTATAATTGAAACGCTTTGAATACATCTCTTTAATTCGATTGCGCCTTATGAAAGCGGAAGAAATATACCAATGTGGCAAAGTAGAATAAGCGGAACTAGTAAATGAAACTCAGCATTAGGTCTGTGGTGCTTTTGAAATTTCATGAACATAATAAATATCAAAGATTCCTAAATCAGGAAGTGCGATGTAAACACGGCTATAGATTATGTTTTATACATTTCAGATATAATGATAACAGTCTAACAATTACTTTGGATTGGTAAATTTCTATTGAAGTCGAAAACGTTCAGTTTGGTTTAACAAATGTATACATTTGTTTTTCTATATTGCGTTTATACACTAGATAAATCAAACGGGCTTCGTACAAGAGCCCCCTTAAAATCCAGTTTCGTTCTGATTCACTGCTTGGTGTACTTCATTTAGATGGCTGTATAAGTGATCATTTTCATCCTTCTCAGTCCTTTGAAGAGCTGTATACGTCGACTGTTCACTTTCCACTTCATCATAATTCCCATCATTTTGGATTTTGTCAGGATTTTCATAAATATCCGTTGAGTTATTTTTCTCCTTGCTCTTGTTCTCCGAGTTTGCCTTTGATGATTTGAACCGACGATTTTGATAAATTAAGTAAGCAATAACAACAAATGAAATGACCAGCAGAGCAGCTAATACTAACACAATAATTCCAGCAAGATAGTTTTCAGAACCATCGTCAGCCTTGCCTTAAATTTGAAAGAATTAAGAACATTACTATAATGATGTTATTAAGAAATGTACAACTCGTTTAGGCTTCTCATAACTTGTTTTGTTCGGTTCTTTTTTAAAATAAAATTTAAAAAGCGAAATTACCTGCACCTTCTAGTTTTTGGACCCTAATCGTATGACTTGTGCTTTGAAACCGATCTCGGATATGACAAATATATTTTCCAAAACTTGATTGGTCTTTCACTGTTACAACAAGGAAAGAACTGCGGTGGGGCTTTTCCTTTTCCATGAAACTTTCCAGTGGCTTCTGGTCTTTTTCCCAGCTGAAAGTGATTGGAAGTTCACCTTGAGCAGAACATAGTAGGTTGACAAGATCACCTTCTTTTGCCTTTATGTCACCACTGGATATTTTGGTCAATACATCAGGGCCACCTGGAAAACAGAAAATGTAGACTTTGTGCTACCATTATTTTCATATGTGCTACAATATACAATACAATACAATACAATACAATACAATACAATACAATAAGCTTTATTTGAATTCGAATTTTTTATAACTACAATAAGCTAATATCTACAGTATATACAGTATATAGTAAAACTAAATGTAATATTAATTAATGTTTTTAAAAAGTAAATTAACTTTCAAAGTTTATGTCAGATATTGACATTATAAATTTGTGCAGAGTATCTTGAACCCTGCAACTTTCTGGCAAACCATTCCATCGTTTAACTACTTCATATCGAAAAGAATGAAGTCAATGCTTTGTAGTCATAACTTTTGGTAAGTCCAGAATATCCGACCCACGTAGTGAGTAGTATGCACTTCGTCTATTTAACATTTGTTTCAAATATTGTGGATATCTTTCACAATGGATGCATTTGTAACAAGTTGTTAGCATATTACCCACCCCGTTTATTATGGAGTGAAACCAGACCTGTTTTTTTCTAATAGTTCACTATAACTTAAACTATGTTCATTTAGAATAAAACGTAAAATACGTTTATTAAGACCTTCCAATTTGTTTGAATTTCTTGCACCACAAAAATGCCAAACAGCTGCACAGTAGCTAAAACGTGGGACTATATAATTCCTATATAATACCAACATTGTACTGTATGTCTGGAGACAAGGTTGCTGAATCTCTTAATTACGTTAAATTGATCATTAACGTTCTTACAAATTAGTACTAGTAATATGTTTATCAAAGTTAAGATCTTGATCAATTGTCATACCAAGGAAATCCAGTGAGTCGGCCTTTGTTGGGAAAGAAAATTTATAGTGCAATTTGTTGCCAAGGATCATTGCTTGATGTTTAGTAGGAATACAACTCATACCATTAATATCAAACCACTGATTAATACTTGTGACATGATGTTGAATCAATTAATCAAGTTCCTTATGTGAGTCATACATTTGGCTATCATCAGCATATGAATAAAGCTTACCGACAGGTATACTTCGAAATAAATCATTGGAAAAAATGTTATAGAGAATTATTATTATGAACAATGGATTTCGTATGAACCAACATTTACTCGTGATTTACCACCTAAATCCAAATCATCTATGAATACAGTTAAATTGTTTCCTTGTATTTACCTGTATATTTGTTCGTTTTTGAAGTCGGACTCCAGTCTGTTGAGTAATATTCACTCTATGGAAGAAAAGGTTATAGTTTTTATCTGTTTAGTTGTAGATATATACAAATGACTTCATCACCTGTTCTCCGATGTGGGCTGATTTTTATTCTTAACACTTTATACACTGTAAATCTCGCGGTGTTGCGGCAACACCAAAAAGGTGTAACATTACACTAATTAGGTGTAATGTGGAATTAAACACCGTTTGAGTGTAACATTACACTTCCACAGTGTAACTTTACACTATTTTAGTGTCTCGGTAACACTTACTAGGTGTAAAGTAGAAAATATTCTATTTACACCTAATTCGGTGTAGATTTACATTAGAACGGTGTATCATTACCTCTTTCCCTGTTAATTTACACCTTGCGACAGTGTAAATATACACTTATTCGGTGTAAAGTATACCAACACTTGCGAAGTGTAAATTTACACTTTTCCTGGTGTATCATTACACCTAGAACGTGTTAAAATACACGGAGCTGAGGTGAAGTAGAAACTAATGTATTAACTGTTATTGCAGTGTAAATTTACCCTTAACAAGTATAAATTTACCCAATTCTTGTGTATGGGATAACGCCATGATAGTGTAAATATACACCGGAGTGGCGTAAAAATTATGAATGCTTACTTAGTGTAAATCTACACTGAACCTGGTGTATAATTACACTAAGACTATTTTAAGATACACTGATCTAGTGTAAAGTAGAAACCGAAGTATTAACACCTTTTATGGTGTAAATTTACCCTCAAACGGTGTAAATTTAGCCTATTCTTGTGTATGAGATAATACCATGATTGTGTAAATATATACACCGGTATGATGTAAAAAACATGAATGCTTACTTCGTGCAAATCTACACTGAACCTGGTGTATAATTACACTAGACGATTTTAAGATACACTGATCTGGTGTAAAGTAGAAAGTTTAACGAACTATAAACACCTATTATGCTGCAAACATACCCTCAAACGGTGTAAATGTACCTAGCTAATTCTCGGGTGTATGTGATAACACCATGATAGTGTAAAGTGTAAACATACACCAGAATTTGAAGCTCAGATAGGCTATTTCCAGCATCTTGAGGAGTGTTCCAACAAGAAATTAACTTTATAAACAGTGACATAATTACTGCAATTTTACAATCTCCCAAATGTAATCCAGTCCCCCAATAAGGCAACATGATGTGACGATGACGGTAATGAAAGTGTGCGTGGTATAGTATTATCATTCA